AATCGGACTAAGAAAAGCAAAATCATACGATTTCCAATGTATATAAGAGTATTTTATTTTTTATCTTTTGTACATATTTCAATTTTAAGTGCCCCAGTTGAGCTTTGTGAGAAATTAGAATGTTATGTGTTTAGGCTTTTGGAACTCAATGAATTCCTTGAACAAAATCGCATAATCCGGTCATCGTCCCCCCAGGGGACAATTTTTTTTAAAGTTATTATACTTGGCGTGACTTACATAAGATGTAATCAGTATCACGTAAACGCTTAAATTAATTTTTAAAATAATCATTACTCATCATGCGCGTGCAAAAGAATGTTCAAATATTTCATACTGCGGATGTATATACATGTATGTTTAACTGAAGTTCATCGCCTGACGAATGCCAGCATTTACACTTATATGTAGATAACAAAATCATTGTGCATAAAAATCAGAAATGTATTGGCGGGGAGAAAACTCTGCAAGTGTGAATAGACTATTTTTGTACGAATTGTTTCCCTTCCTTTGCAAAATTGAATAACATGTGCCAAACTAGTATTGCGAAATATTGTTTTTTTGCGGCAATTACAATTACTTTATTTGCTTACTATATATTAAGCCAAACAGATTTGAAACATTAGAAATGTATTTCGACAAAATCGCTCAGCCTTTCAAAGTTTCGTAACTAAAAACCGACAATATAGGCCTATGGTGATTCAACATACATTATCAGCTTAATACAGCGGACGCGTTTGTGAAGGCACGATATTGACGATATTGTATTTAAGCTGAACGAAAATACAAATTATCTGAAAAAAGGATAAACACATGTCATGTTTATGATATAAAATATAGACCCATTGAAGAAACGAAATACCCTTTTCACTAGTTTCAATCCACTTTACGCCACGGATATTATTTGTATATAAAGCTCGTTCATTAAATAAATTGAAAACAAGAAGAAAGAAAAAATGTAGAAGAAATAAATAAAAGCTCGTCAATTAAGTAAATTGAAAAAGATAACAAAAAAGACAAAAGTAGAAGAAATATATAAAATTTCACTTTGAATAATTAATTATGAAGACATTAACATATGCTTATTATTATCTATCTATCGTCACTATATACCGGACGCTTGTTTACATTTCTTTTTACGATTTACAACAGAAATTCTTGGTATGTAGTTAAATATTGAAAGAGTTTGTCGATTTGACGCCAGGTGCCAGGTATTTTACAGTTCAGTTCCTAGCACTTAAAATCTGATTGAAATTATTGTATTTTAGGAAGTTGTTTTAAAGTTGTAAAAATTTCGGAAAACAAGTTTATTGTACAAGAAATATGATAAGGTATATCCTTCTCCCATCCGATGGACCTGAGTGATCATCAGGTTGTAGTACATCCCTTTCCCGAGATAAACCAAATACACATATAAATACATAAATATAAAACAATACAATCTATAAGGAACCTTATAATTGCTACAGTGTGCACATGCAGTTTACTTCCACAAATTTATTGGACTACATGTATATACATGCCGAGAACTAACAGGAGAGAGACAGGTCAATTCTCAGTTTACAGGTACATTCCTTAGAAGAAACAGTGACAAATAGCCGTGGTTTATAAGATTAATTAATAAAGGATTTGTGATATCATGTACAATGTATCGGTTATATATTTGGAATAATGTGTTTTAAGAATAAAAGTGTGCAAATATTTTATGGAAGATAATGATTTTTTAAATAACATTTTTGGATTTTATGACTTTCATGAGAAAGATATACTGATTTTATAAGAAATTGTGAGAACTTTGTGACACAATATTTTAATAAAAAATGGAAAGTGTTAATTCTCAAAATGAATCATCTTGTTAGTCAGATATTGCTGAGCTTGCGGGACAAAGTATTCCCACCGAACAGGGGCAGAGTATCCCCCAACAAACAGGGGCAAAGTATCCCCACTATATCGGGCCAAAGTATGCCTGATGGTATATTGCAAGCTATGCTTCACCAGCAATAATTGTTTTTAAAGACAGTCCAGGCATTGCAGCAAAGAACAATAAATGAAAAAAATGACTGTGTGAGTGATGATGAAAGTGGCAATGAATCCACACAAGTAAGGAGTAATTCATGTATATATTCCTCAAATGCTCCTGTGTCATATGAACAAGTTGACGTTTCTTTAGAAGAAGAGAAATCTGACACAAGTAACCGTGAAGATTTACGCTCAATGAACACACTCTACAATGAAAGCGACAATGTCACTGACGAAATCCACAATAACTTACCAGCCATCAATTTGTCTCTTAGAAAAAGACTTTCCAAAAAAGATCAAAAGACGTACTTGAAAAATTTCAAAAACCTGCAAATGTTATGAATATGAGTGTCCCTAAGGTTAACATTGAACTATGGGAAGATGCTCATCAAAATTTAAGAAATAAAGACATGAATTTATCAAAAACCCACGCAGGACTTAATTCTAACAGCTTGCTCGTCTGTTGTTGAAATAGCACAGAAATGCCTAACAAAACAGAAAAAAAGAAATAAAATCAAAAGAATGCACAAATGCATTAACTAGTCTGTCTATCGGCAGTATTCACAGAGCTTACTCAAATAAAACGAGAGAATTTCAAGTCTGGAATGCATCAGGAGTTTAAATCCCGACTGTGCGGCACAGACAACGAACCGTCCACTAAGTGGATATTTGTGGACGGACTGGGCAAGAAAATAAAAGAGATAAATGACACAAAGGCTGTGTCATCAAAACTTACAATAAGGTCAGAAAGAGGAAGTCACCCTTACTCAAACTTCAACAGAAGGGAAACAACCCTTGTACAAGAAGCCCTTTTTAGGCAAACGTCGTTTCCAGAAGTCAAAGTACAAGACGGAGGAAAACGGGTGGAAATAAATAATCCAGATACATTAAATTGTGAGGAACCAGAGGTTAGCATTTTACATAGTTTTAACATTAAAAATACACCTAATAACTTTATAGCTGGTAAAATATGCAAGTTTGTTTCATCTTGGGAAAATATTTCGTCTGACCCTTGGATTATCAATACCGTAAAAGGAATAGAAATACCTTTTCTTGAATTACCGTGTCAAAACGTTATTCCTAATCCTATATCATTTAATTCCGAAGAATGTTTGCTAATTCAAACAGAATTAAATGTACTTTTGGGTTAACAAGTGATTGAAAAGTTTTCTGATACACAACTAAGCAAAGATGTTGGTTTTATTTCAAACTTGTTTATAAGATATAAAAAGATGGAACTATTCGATTGATTTTAAATTTAAAACGATTGAATGAAATAATTGTTTACATTGGAAACATTTCAGTCAGCTTTAACATTAATTAAACCAGGATCTTTCTTTGCTAGTTGTGATTTAAAGGACGCATATGACAGTGTTAATGTGAAAAAACCATTTAGAAAATATCTGAGATTCTTTTTCAATGGGGTATGTTACCAGTATATTTGCTTCGATCCCAAATGGTCTGGATTTTGGACTTCGGTACTTTACGAAACAATTAAAATGTCTTTCCTCTCAACTTAGAAAAAGATCATTTTTAAATGTATTTTACATTGACGATACTCTGCTAAATGGAGATACATATGAAGAATGTACAGATAATGATTATCAAACAGTTTCCTTGTTTGATAGTTTAGGATTGACTATTCACCCAAGCAAAAGTTGTTTCATTCCTATACAAATAATTGAATTTCTTGGATTTGTGCTAAATAGCATCACAATGACAGTTAGTGTATCCCACGAAAAATGTGCCAAAATTATAGCCTGCTGTGCTTTGATATTATCAATGACCACTTTACTACAGAGAATTATCTCAAGTAATTGGGAAATTAGATGCATGCTCTCCTGCGGTGCCACATGCTGCTATATATAACAAACGATTAGAGATTATGACAAATGAGGCTTTGAGGGTCAATAAAGGGAACTTTGAAGAAACTGTTCTATTGGATGAAGAGTGTAAAAGTGATTCAATGGTGGATATCAAATTTACCCACATGTGAAAAAACAGTGAATAGCGCAAAGCCTGATAGGGTGTTATCTTTGATTATGTGTAACGAATGTATATACTTTCATTCATAAGAAAATAAATTATGTTTCCATGTGATGGCATTGGCGAGTCGTTAACACGTCGGACTTGTAATCTAATGATCGCTAGTCGGATGGGCTCGAACCCCATCAGGAGCAAATAGTTAGTTGTTTCCTTGTCACTCATTGTTTATATATTTTTATATCACAGGCACCCTCTCATATTTTTTACAAATAGGTACCCTCAAGGAACGACATATGCTTTTATTTGCGATTATCGTAAGGTCTGTAATATTTCTTACTTTTATGTAAATATTGGATTGTATTGCATACTTAACGATAAACGCAAATAAAAGCATATATCGTGCCTTGAGGGTACCTATGTGTTAAAAATGAGAGGGTACCTGTGATTTAAAAATTCAAACAAAGAGAGGTAGCCCGTGCCGCTGCAAAACCGAAAGTAGGGTGTTTTTATAAATTTTACAATTATTTTCGACAATGTAATGCCATTTGTCCGCAGATGATATGTTAATGAACATAATCAATATGTATGATGCATATATAATCAAGCCACAGGTTCATTTCAGCCCGAACAGTATGTCGAGGTGATGGGCGAACCAAGACATGTCGATTTTTTGTAGCTTATTGTGAAGTTGTAGTGCATGAAAAACGGGCACATGACAAATCAGAACATACATAAAACATTCTAGTGTTCCGTAGTATACATCTTTTCCACGTGTCATACCTCCTTTCCTTATTACAATGAATTTTTACTGGCTTGTTATCCATTGCTGGTTTGTTTTGAGCAGAGAATGACCTGTGCATGTATAAAGAGGGTACCGTTTCAGCAGATTTCGCAAAGAGGGTACCGATATGGATATGCACCGTGGTTCCTGTTCTGTGTATTCTATAACAATTGTGTTCGAGGTCGGAAGACTGACAGATAGTGCCCTAAAGTTGCGATTAATCAACAGCAGAAGTTGTAGGTTCAAATGTATACTCTTAGATAAATATATGCATAAATAATAAATACTAAACATATGAAATACGATGACACAGTATGGCCAACAAGCTGCAGTATAACTCATACTCGAAATCAAACGAAGAAAAAACTCGCGCCAATCGCAATCATAATTAAATGATACTACTGTACTGCATTTTTATACATTTTTTGTTAATTGATATAACTGTTGTACTGGTTATCTACTGATTAACAACAAATCTAAAATAAATTAGTAGAAAAAATATTTTTATTTAACGCATAATATAGTTTCATGATCGTAATATCATCTTTTTATTCAAATAAGACATGTTCACTAACATTTCATAGTTTCAATAACTTTCTGTGAATAAAAACATTTTACTCAAGGATGAGCATAGTATATCTACAATAACTCAGAACCTGACTATTAAATTAATATTGAATTAATATTAAAGCCCCACTATTTATCAGAAATCTTTTTTGTTTCTCAAAAGCTTTTTTCTTTCATTCTTGGCGCCCTGATGTAGTTTTCAAAACCTTAACTAGAGGATGCTTTTGTAAAAAAGCGCATGTCTCCCCCACTGCTGAGAATAACTGTAAATGGAAACAGGAATGGAAATGGAGATAAAAGAACAGAGTATATAAAACCAGACAACTGATATATCACTGATATATATCAATAATAGCTAAATGTCCTCACTGATAAGAACTCTAGTTATCATCCGGAAATGAGAAAATGACCAATGGTCACTGTGACCTTAACCTTTGACCTACTGACCCCATAAACAAGAGGGATCATCTGCTCAATAAGACCAATCATCCTATGAAGTTTGAGGGTTGTAGGTCTAAAGGAACTCTAGTTATCATCCGGAAAGGAGAAATTAACCAACGGTCGCTGTGACCTTGACCTTTGACCTACTGACCATTAAAACAATAGGGATCATTTGATTAATAAGACCAATCATCCTATGAAGTTTGAGGGTTGTAGGTCAAAAGGAACTCTAGTTATCATCCGGAAATGAGAAAATTGACCAACGGTCACTGTGACCTTGACCTTTGACCTACTGACCCCAAAAACAATAGGGATCATCTGCTCTATAAGACCAATCATCCTATGAAGTTTGAGGGCTGTAGGGCCAAAGGAACTCTAGTTATCATCCGGAAACGAGAAATTGACCAACGGTCACTGTGACCTTGACCTTTGAACTACTGACCCCAAAAACAATAGGGATCATCTGCTCAATAAGACCAATCATCCTATGAAGTTTGAGGTCTGTAGGTCTAAAGGAACTCTAGTTATCATCCGGAAACGAGAAATTGACCAACGGTCAGTGTGACCTTGACCTTTGACCTACTGACCCCAAAAACAATAGGGATCATCAGCTCTATAAGACCAATCATCCTATGAAGTTTGAGGGCTGTAGGTCAAAAGGAACTCTAGTTATCATCCGGAAACGAGAAATTGACCAACGGTCACTGTGACCTTGACCTTTGAACTACTGACCCCAAAAACAATAGGGATCATCTGCTCAATAAGACCATTCATCCTATGAAGTTTGAGAGCTGTAGGTCAAAAGGAACTCTAGTTATCGTCCGGAAACGAAGAATGGACGGACGGACTGACGGACGGACGGACTGACGGACGGACAGGGCAAAAACAATATGTCTCCCCCCAGTTTGAGGGTTGTAGGTCAAAAGGAACTCTAGTTATCATCCGGAAACGAGAAATTGACCAACGGTCACTGTGACCTTGACCTTTGAACTACTGACCCCAAAAACAATAGGGATCATCTGCTCAATAAGACCATTCATCCTATGAAGTTTGAGAGCTGTAGGTCAAAAGGAACTCTAGTTATCGTCCGGAAACGAAGAATGGACGGACGGACTGACGGACTGACGGACGGACGGACTGACGGACGGACAGGGCAAAAACAATATGTCTCCCCCCGAGGTGGGGGAGACATAATTATTAGTCAATTGCCGAAGCCATCTTTTGATTGTGTTACTAATTTTGCAATTTATGGAGTATTTCGTATGCAAGTTAAGGTATTATTGCATTTACATTTTGTCATTTTCATGAAAAACACTTTCTAAAAATAGGAATGAGATATTTAAATCCAACTTGGTATACAGCAAGCTTATATGAAGACCCCGTTTAGCAATGCATATGAACCCCCTGGTCATTTGTTTTGCGCTATGGTATTGTTTGTTTGTTTGTTTCATTTTACGCTTTTTCCAACAGTATTTCATTCATATAGGCGAATAGTTTCCTGACAATCGTTCCTGGAGAGTTACACCAGCACTAGACTACCTTCCTCCGCGCTAAACTAACAAATCATCTTCCGGGGATCGAACCCACGTCAGAGAGGTAACTGGATTAGAAGTAATCGATTCTAACCCCTCGATAATAAATAATAAATAACGAGCTGGAGAATTTTTCAGAAAATGAAATGCAAGGATATTCAACAATTAGTTACACTCTTTATTATTTTATTGAAATTTATTTAAAGTAATGAGTACCGCTCAGCCGCTGCTAGGGGGCACGAGGGATGTTGCAAGTATTTATTATCCCTCATGTACAAACTCAAACAAACCGATCGAGTCTGCAATTCTCTTGTTATCATGTTGTGATTAATGCTTCCGAGTGATCACTTTGTTTCCAGATTTCCAGATAACGCTAGCCATTTATTTTACGAATTCTTATATCATAGTATTATCATTTTGAAATAATCTTTTTCCGTAGGTTCTTTCCGGTTAATTAATAGCTCATTTCTTTTGATTGCACTTCTGACATTTTTATTTACAAATCCTGAATTTGGTCTTTTTGAAATTTATCTCAAACTTTTTTCATTCCAGCGTCTGTTTTACTTTCAGTATTTAGAAATATAAGTACTGTATCTTAGGTCCAGGGTATCAATAGAAACCCTTTTTAAGTTTGACATGAAAAAGTGCATGTAATATTACTTTATTAGTCCTTTTAGTTACTATTTTTATGTACTGTTTGTATATTTGTTACATTTATAATATATTAAACAAGAGCGATCAGTGATCACATGTGTCGCCTCATGATGGCCAATTTCATGTTGGGACAAGTTTTGTGACAAACGGACAGACAGACGGACAGTGCACAACTAGACTTGGTACTGATCATTACTGTAAAGTTTGGATAAAATTGCACAAGTAGTTTATGAGGAGTCGTCCGGACAAGCTTTTGTGTATCTGGCAACACACAGAAAAAAACACTTTTTTGTCAAAGGGCCATTACTCGGCCAAAAATCATTCAACGACAACACCCATGGTATATGCGCAATGACTTGAGCTACAGATTAATCCTGTAAACTTTCATTGAAATTGCATTAGTAGTATTAGAGAAGTAGTCCGAACAAACTTAAAAAATAAAAATTATATAAGGGCCATATCTCTGACAAAAATCATTAAACTGGAAAATGCTGACAATATGCACAACCAAACTTGGTACTGATCATTCCTGTTTATGATGAAATTGCACCAGTAGTTTATGAGGAGTAGTCCGTTCAAGTTTTGCGACGGACGGACAAGCGGACAGACAGACAGACGGATAGACAGACGGACAGACGGACAGACAGACGACGGAGAAGTGATCCCTATATGTCGCCACTACTCCGTAGAGGTGACACAAAATGCACCAGTAGTTTATGCGGAGTAGTCCCGACAAGTTTTGTGACGGACAGACAGACAGACAGACAGACGGACAAAGAGACGACGGAGAAGTGATCCCTATATGTCGCCACTACTCTGTAGAGGCGACACAAAAACAGACTATGTTTATTTTGACTTCTGTCTGTTCCAAAGAATATATATTTAATAGATCTTATCTGAAGCAAGCCTAACTGTGTTCAATATGAACAATGTTTTTCGGCCGCCCATTCATTTATGATATACAATTCTGCTAAAATCCAATTAACCATTGAACAGTTAAGAGTCATCAGATGTCTATTAGTTCATCGTCTCTTGCTGAATTTCTTGCTTGGACGTCATTTGATGCTTTGCATCAATGTTTTTCTTTTATTCTATTGTTATGTACTGAGCTCTTTTGTTCACATTACAATTTGAGGACCCTTCTATCTATTATTGGTAGAGCTGACGTGCATACACACACGGACGGAGACGATATCAGATGTGTCTTTTGCTTTAAGGTGATATAAAAACTTACCTGATTTAGCCTTTTCATATTCTAACTTTTTTTGTTTTTGCGGAGAATCATCTTCATTGAGTCTTTTTATCTCCTACAACAGAAATAAAAGTACAAACAATTGTGTTTTATTCGGTAATTTTTAACAATAATGATTGTACAAAGTAGTATTGGAATTTCCGGCAGTCTGTCTAACACACAGTGTCTTAATATTTCTCAAAAATATCAAATTGAATTATAACTTATGAAGTGCTGGGATATTTGAATTTTCTTCAATGAAAATTAATTTTGAAATCATTGCTATTTCTTTAAATTTGGCGTTTTTTGTGCAATCGTACATTATTTACTTAAGATTAATGTAATTGAAGGAAAATAGAAGGTTTAAAATCTATAATTATGTAAGTTTCATTTTTTACATTGATACGCTTCTTTTTTATTTGTTTTTTATTTGCAGTAGTCTTTAGTTGTTAGATTTGAAACTTGAATCTTAACAAAACTTGCGTTTGATCTTTCTCAAACACTTCATGCACCACGTACTAATATGGTATTTGATCACTCACCTGTGATCAATTGCTAGATAATACATCAATTAGGTCACATTGAAATACCAATATTCCTATTTGTAAATGAAAAGTTTTGTCAAAATATTCCTAAAACAAAATGTTGGTAAACAACCCATGCATAACTGCCACAACACAAAAAGCCATCACTAACGCTAAACTCTGAGTGCTTAATACTACAGTGAGATGAAAAAGGAAGGGTAAAAAATTATAGTTGTATGATTAATATGTCCTCTTTTAAGTCACTTATCAACATAATTTTAAGTTTTGAACGTAAACCCGCAGCATGACTCTTTTTTACCAATCATCACTCAGACAATTTTTCATACTTAATATGTAACACTTTAGCCATATAGCCTCAGGTTTGGCCATTTCTAGCTAAGGGACATGATATTTATTACTTTTAGAGAGGGCAGTTTAGGCTAAAGCACGTTCAATCTATTTAGGTTTCTCCTCAGATATTTACATACCTCCTCTTAAAACTGTTTACCTTACTGACTGTTGTCATTTGTATATGTGTCCAAAAGGATCATTCCTGTCAAGGTTGTTAAAATGCTATTGCATTGTTGAGATGCCGGCACCTTGTTAAAAGGAATTAAGAACACTTAACTTACAGAGCGAAGTCATACTTAATTTCACAACGTTGGTGATGTCACAAGTGTCATTTGTCTTGGACTAGAATAGATAAAATGTCTATTATCATTAAGTGTAAAGTAAATTAAGTAAGATACAAGTTAAATATTTATACGCCGGCAGTAGATTTTTTGTAAAAGTCAGTAATTGAAGTTACACAACTTGTGAAATATGTAAACAGTCTAAAAAGTAAGGACGGGCCATATCTTATGCAGGAGAAAAGAAATTTTAACTTCCTTTGATATTGCATAGTTACGTGTTGTGGCAATCATACATGAAAATATTATGTACACGAGTTCACAAAAATTGCTCTGTGTGTATATTATGAACAAAAGTTCGAAGAGCACTAAATATTTCCCTTTGACCTTTGACCTACTGATCTTAAAGTAAATAGGGTTATCTTGAATGATGATCATCTTCCCTACCAACTTTAATGATCATAGGACAAACTATACTGAAGCTATCATCCAAAACGTTCTTACCATTTTGGACCACTTGGCCTTGACATACTTTTCTCAAAATCAATAGGGATTATATACCAGTGATGATTAAATGATTCCAAGCAATGTTTTAGCATTTTTGGTCACTTTGACCTTGATCTTTGACCTACTGACTTCAAAATAGATAGGGGTCATCTGCCAATGATGAACAATTTCCCTATTAAAGTTTGTGATCCTGAACCAAAGCATACTCAAGTAATCATCCGGAAATGACCTTGATCTTTGACGTAATGACCTTAAAATGTATAGGGGTCAAAGGTTATCAACCCCTTAATCAACTTTCATGATCCTAGACCAAAGCGTACTCAAGATATCCTTCGGAAATTGTTTAAGCATTTTCGGTCACTTACTAGACGAAAAATCAATAGGTGTCATCTGCCAATGATGATAAACCTCAACATTCATGATCCTAGGCCAAAGCGTTCTCGTTATTATCCAAAAAAATGGTTTTACCATTTTGGGTCAATGTCACCATGACTTTTGACCTACCTATCAAAAGGGGTCATTTGCCAATCATGACGAACCACTTTTTGAACTTTCATGATATTAGGCCAAAGCATACTCAAGTCATTGTCCGGAAACGGCCAAAGCAATTGTTTATTTAGTAAATACGATATGTTTCAACATCTTTTGATAAAAACTAGCCGTTCTTTTAAAGAACTTATCTATTCAATTATCCAAAAAACATGTAGGATCTTTAAATCGCATTTGGAAAGTTGTCAACAAAAAGATGAAGAATCATTTAGGTTCAAATTTCATATCACTAGGAAAATACTGAAATATTCACGTCACTACGAAGTAATCGTCAAAGTAAATGTATCAATAATGTAACAGATATATATCAAAGTGATATGACGATTGCCAAATTTATGTTTAAGTATGAATTTATTTCAAAAGATTCTTATTTATAATGGTGATGGTGAAAATGTCTAGCGAGTAATATAGAAAAATGCCTAACTAAAATATCTCTCCATCAAACTTTACCGATACATTAGAAATTGTCACGTAAATAATCAAGCCAGATAATCTACATGGCTACATAATGTCAAGGTTGTTGAATTGTGATAATATATAGAGGATATTGAATGAGTGTAGGTTTAATACTAAATTTATTGAACGAGTTGAATAAAATCATATTATGCGAGCCTCTGGCGAGCATAATATTGTTTTATTCAACGAGTTCAATAAATTTAGTATTGAATCTACACGAATATAATATTCTATTTATCACATACATGTATATAAAATAAGAAGAAGAGTCATTTTTCTTTGACGCGCCTATAGTGTAACGCTAACATTAGCGCGCTTTAACGCTATGTTTATAGCGCAAATGACGTGACGTCAAAGTGTTATTACACTAGTGTAATATCGTCTAGTGTAATATCGTTTTTATTAAATGGCTTTATTACACTCCTGAGCCGCGGTTTATGTGATAAATTTTGATATACTATGTTTTCTCTGAAAATCGGGTCATAATGATCTTTATAATATTTATACAAAATATATAAATGTAACGTATTTATACTGTACTTTCGTCAAACTGCAATATTAATATTAAAGTATACATAATCGCTATATTTGATATTCAATAAGTCACTTTCGTCAGGTTAACAATGTGCGAAAGTTTGATAGATGCCTCAGCTAATGTATAAACATTATGCAAATAAATGAAAATTAAATCATCTTTATAATTAAAAAAATCAACCCGAAACACATTTAGTTTTCATAATATACATCTACAAACTGCAAATTCAATTTAAAGGCTACATTTAATATTATTTCCACTCGCTCACAGTCGTCCGAATAAATTTCTTTCGTCTTGTTCTCTGTGAGCAAAAGGAAGATCTCTGAACTTGTATACTAGTAAAGGAATTATTTAAACAATTTGATATCAAATCATCATAATCATTATTTTTGAACAAGAGGGCCATGATGGCCCAAAGTCGCTCACCTGTATATAGGCCCATTACATATATATTACATATTACATATATACACACACACACACCAATAAATGCAATATATATATATATATATATATATATATATATATATATATATATATATATATATATATATATATATATATATATATGCATCTATATTGTAAATATATACAGTCACATTCCTCCATTTACGGGGCATCGGTCTATTTGAGACCATACTTGTGGGGTTTATATTTAATGTGGGGCATACATAAGGCCTCGCAACTCTGGCATGTTTAAAACGATGTATGGGGGCGTAGGCTACCCTTCTAACAGAGTGCCCGTAGGCCGATTTTAGTAGTAAATGATATATGTCCCACAAATGTATATATTTTTAATGGGGTTTTATGTTATTGGTCAATATGTTTTCACCTATGGTAAAATTAAATATATAGTTGATATATATAACTTAGTACCCCTTAGTTCTGTTGTTTTGAAATGTCATTATATGCCTACATAGTGGCATATATATAAAAACTGACTGCATGAAATAATGCCACTCAACTCGGTCTTATAAATAGGCCCCGTAAGTGAAGATATGTGTGAATATATATATATATGTATATATATATATATATATATATATATATATATATATATATATATATATATATATATATATATATATATATATGCATCTATATTGTAAATATATATATATATATGTATATATATATATTCACACATATCTTCACTTACGGGGCCTATTTATAAGACCGAGTTGAGTGGCATTATTTCATGCAGTCAGTTTTTATATATGCCACTATGTAGGCATATAATGACATTTCCAAACAACAGAACTAAGGGGTACTAAGTTATATATATCAACTATATATTTAATTTTACCATAGGTGAAAACATATTGACCAATAACATAAAACCCCATAATAAATATATACATTTGTGGGACATATATCATTTACTACTAAAACCGGCCTACGGGCACTATGTTAGAAGGGTAGCCTACGCCCCCATACATCGTTTTAAACATGCCAGAGTTGCGAGGCCTTATGTATGCCCCACATTAAATATAAACCCACAAAGTATGGTCTCAAATAGACCGATGCCCCGTAAATGGAGGAATGTGACTGTATATATATATATATATATATATATATATATATATATATATATATATGTGTGGATGTATGTATATTGTATGTGTGTATATATATATATATATATATATATATATATATATATATATATATATATATATATATATATATATATATATATATATAATATGTCTATAAATATTAAATATATATATATCTACATATATACAATATAGATACATACATATATATATATTGCATTTATTGGTGTGTGTGTATATATGTAATATATATATATGCATTACATATATACACACACACACACCAATAAATGCTATATATATATATATATATATATATATATATATATATATATATATATATATATATATATATATATATATATATATATATATGTGTGGATGTATGTATATTGTATGTGTATATATATATATATATATACATATATATATATATATATATATATATATATATATATATATATATATATATATATATATATATATATATATATATATATATATATATATATATATATATATATATATATATATATATAATATGTATATAAATATTAAATATATATGTATATATATAATATGTATATATCTAAAAAAAAAGTCGAGCTAATGAATGACCCCCGGAGCGGGACCAATTTTGACCCCAGGGCTTTTATTTGAACAAACTTGGTAGACACCCATTAGAACATGTTTCATGCTAAATATGTTAGCTGTAGCTCTTTGAGTTCTTTAAAAGAAGATTTTTAAGTTTTTACTATATGCATATAGGGAAAATCAATGATCCCCTGGGGCGGGGCCAATTCTGACCCCAGGACTTTGATTGAACAAACTTTGTAGACACTCACTAGAAGATGTTTCATGCTTAATATCTAACCTCCAGCTATTTGGATTTTTTCAAAAAAGATTTTTTCAGTTTTTGCTATACACATATAAGGAAAATCAATGACCCCCCGGGGCGGGGCCAATTTTGACCCCAGGGCTTTTATTTGAACAAACTTGGTAGACACCCATTAGAACATGTTTCATGCTAAATATCTTAGCTCTAGCTCTTTGAGTTTTTTAAAAGAAGATTTTTTAAGTTTTTACTATATGCAAATAGGGAAAATCAATGACCCCCTAGGGCGGGGCCAATTTTGACACCAGGGTTTTAATTTGAACAAACTTGGTAGACACTCATTAGAAGATGTTTCATGCTAAATATCTTAGCTTTAGCTCTTTGGGTTCTTTAAAAGAAGATTTTTAAGTTTTTACTCTATGCATATAGGGAAAATCAAAGACCCCCTGGGGCGGGGCCAATTTTGACCCCAGGTCTTTTATTTGAACAAACTTGGTAGACACTTACTAGAAGATGTTTCATGCTTAATATCTAAACTCTAGCTATTTAGGTTTTTTCAAAGAAGATTTTTAAGTTTTTGCTATACACATATGAGGAAAATCAATGACCCCTGGGGCGGGGCCAATTTTGACCCCAGGGCTTTTATTTGAACAAACTTTGTAGACACTCACTAGAAAATGTTTCATGCTTAATAGCTAAACTCCAGCTATTTGGGTTTTTTTAAAGAAGATTTTTTAAGTTTTTACTATATGCATATAGGGAAAATCAATGACCCCCTGGGGCGGGGCCAATTTTGACCCCAGGGCTTTTATTTGAACAAACTTGGTAGGCACTTATTAGAAGATGTTTCATGCCAAATATCTAAGCTCTAGCTCTTAGGGTTTTTTAGAAGAAGATTTTTTAAGTTTTTCTGACTGGTTGCCATGGCAACCAGAGTTTTTAATGGAATTTAAATTTTTGAACAACTTTGAAAGGGGTCCACCTAAGGATCATTTCTGTAAAGTTTGGTTGCAATTGGCCATGTGGTTTAGGAGGAGATGTTGTTTGAAAAGTTTGACGCCATTTTTTGAAGGACGCACGACGCACGACGCACGACGCACGACGGACGCAGAGTGATGACAAAAGCTCACCTTTGAGCACTTCGTGCTCAGGTGAGCTAAAAAAAAGTATCAATCATTTATGAAAAATACGTCTACAAACTGCAAAATTATTATAAATTTCAATTAAAATACTATATTTGATATTTTATAAGTCACTTTCGTATTTTTCAGTGTGAGCGAAAGGAAGATCGCTGAACTTGAATATAAAAATCATGCAAATAAATGGTGTATAAATCATCATAATGATTATTTTTTACATATTATGAATTTTTGATAATATACGTCTACAAACTGCAATATTAGCATAAATTCTAATAGGTCTTCAGCGTACCCGTTTATATACTATGACATGACGTGAACGCTATAGATACACCCGTAGGGGAACTCCACCAATAATCATGCCAGGAATCTGACACGCTCGTATTCATTTATCGCCAAGCCATGAAGTAAAGTGAAGCATACCTTGATAAAACAATGTAGATAAGCCAAGGATAATTATTACGAACATTAACTACCTAATGGTTTCAGATTGGTAAAATAAATCAGCACTTGGCCGTCATATTGCCAAAATGTTTGACCATGTGATTACGAGATTGACCTTTACGGTTTAATTTGCGCAGACGGTTAAGAAAACAGAACCCATGTGCTTTCAACATTATTTATAAATAACTTTTCTAAAGATATTGAAAAAGATGATTTACTGTCTTCTATTTTCAATATAATTTTATTTAAGTACTAAAAATATTAAGAAAATAAATAGAAACATTATCTTAAATTATTAATATGGAAATCATGTCAACAAAAATGTTCTAAATATAGTACACGACTTCTATCGGTTCCCGCGGTATTAATTTTTGGATACTTTAAATGGTAAAGGATGATATTGAAATCGCAAAATGAACTGGAATAAATTGGGACAAGGGTATTTCCAAATGAAAAATAAGGTTATATCAACGCATGCTATTTTGGTTAGGTTTCGTAACGGGTATAATCCAAAACTTAAATGCCGCAGCAGATGAAAAACAAAAATGTTAAAAAGCGGCTTCTAAAGTTTTGGAAGCCAGAACTACATAAATTCAAATTTAAAAGCTTTTTTATATCCTTTAAGTCATGTGAGTGAAAGGAAAATATTAGAACTTGTGTAAAGAAATTATGCAAATAAATGGCGATAATATAAATATTATGATTATTTTTTATAATACATATAATTAGTTTCTAAATAAATATTATTCGTCTGCAAACTGCAATTCCATTGTAAAATTCTTTTAAAACGCTATAATTCATATTATTAGAGTCACTTTCGCTCACTTTCGTCAAAAAAGACACTTTTGTATTTTATGCAAACCCCGATGCGTGTGTAATCAACGTGGTGATGATAACGCATTTTCATTGGCTGTTGATTTTCTTTAGCTGGAACTTAAGTCATGTGTCGTAATAAAAGCATTTCTTTTTCATTTTAAAGTATTTCATTACATTTTTTCCCAATAATTATTATAACTTAATCATATACTGATATTTGTTCAATTAAATAACAATTCTCGCGAGACCCGAGGCCAAAACAAAATGATTTTGTGGTTCCAGTAACCTGAACGACCCTGTATTTCCGCACCTAACCTAGAACATTTTATTGCAGAAAGGTAGTATCCTATAGTGTATAAATATGATAACAGTTAAATTCTTATAAAATACTAAATTGAATAAAAAAAGTTTTTCCGACCTACCTCCCCTATTATTTTCCGCCATGTTACCAGAACCTCAAGATTATTTTGTTTTGGCATTATGACGTCAAACACACTGGCCAATTTCTCCGCCATCGAATCTTTATCTTATGTATACCATTTCACACGCCGGCTTCAAGACCGGCGTGCTATAAAATCTTGACCAAGACTTTCAAGGTCACTTTAAGGTCAGGTCTATGTTACATGTCAAATTTCTACGCTCTATGTCTTTTTCTATCATAGTAAAATAGTTTGATTTTTGGTTGGGTTTTACGTTGCACCAACACTGGTTATATGTCGACTTTCCATCTTTACTGGTGGAGGCTGGAGGAAGACTTCAGAAGCTAATCAGTGAATATTTCGAGCGTGAGTGGAAATCGTAGTAGAATAAGCTAGCTGGATAGCTTCCTCACAGAAATGTCTACAGACCCTGACGGGATTGAAAATTCTTTGAAGTCATCGACCTTAACCTGTCGCGAAACTTTACTAAAATGTATAGTTACAATACGTATATAGGAAGCAACCACGGTAGGGTAGATTTAAAACCAAAACCATTATTTGAAAGGTTTTGGTAATGTAAGATCCATGCCAAATATCTAAGCTCAAGCCTTTGTTTCAGAACAAAATAAAAATTTCTTAATATTTACTTCACACATTATAAGGGAAATTTATGACTGTAAGACAGTGGCACTATTTTAGCTACGCACGAAAAAAATGCAAATCTATACTTGGTCAAGGGCAATAACTTAAAAATACTTAATGCACAATTTCAAATTCTGATCTAAATTCCTGTACATTTTGTTGATTCTAGTGAGGTACAAATGACACAACATTTGATAATGGGTTTACTAAGTCAATGGCAATAACTCTACAAATTCTTAATAAATATGCAGACAAACCTCCGGATGCACAACTACACATACTGCAAAATAGTTCTGTAAAGATTCATAACTCTAGGTCAAATATTGTTTGAGGTACACGCGATACAAGGTTCAAATTTGCAAATGTTTTCTTATTCTAGTGAGATTACTCGACAAATTCTGAAAATTTCACACTCAAAATCCAGCTGAACAACTACATATGCTTAAAGTTTCATGACACTAGATCGAATACTTATAAAGATACGCATAATTTAACATTGAAAACTAAGTCAAGGGAAATAATGGAATAGATTTAAGAGCAAAACCCTTGGTGAACAACGTTACATGCTGAATGAAATTTCTAGAAAGTTGCGTGTTTGTAGGTCAAATACTTTTTGGGGTGCGCAGGACACAAATTAAGAATTGCCATTTCTTACTTAGTCAAGGGCAATAGCATTGTCTAAACTTAATTACTCCATAAGCGAAACCCCATATGCTGATCAAGATTCTTTAAGTTTTGACGACTATTGTTAATGCAATACTACAGTTACATGTGATACAACATGAGACCGCACGCATGCAAGAACAAACTTCACGACAGACTGAAGAAATCTAAATGAAGACTTAATATATCTTTAGCTTGTACAGAAAGTTGTTAGAAAGCTTTTTGGTTTCATAATGGCCCTTATTTGGTTGGGGGCAATCTGATTTGACTTTGTCCGACATTACAAATTTACCATGGCTGTATGTACGAGTACGGGAATATCAACCGGAAACAATTTTAAGAAACTTCAAGTTTTACCTCTTGTGCTTTTGAAATCTGTGATTCAAGGTCAGTTATTTTGTTTTTAAGCTCGTCACATTCCTCTTTAGTTGCAGCATTTCCTGTTGCTTCTTTGATTTGACTGAGAATTTCGTCAAAGCTTTCAGTAGTTATAATGAAGTCCTCCTTCTTCAGCTGATGAAAATAAAAGTTTTCTATTTTCCTTCGTAGGTCAAATTAGAGCATTTCGATTTATGATAAAAAAAAACCTTATATACAATATATTATGTGTTATCGGTAAGACATTATTTCTAAATTATCTCAATTGATTGTTCTTTAATTTTATCACTCATACTTAAATGGAAACGTTTATGCCAGGATGTATGGTATAGGTATCAGATAGTCAGACTTTTTATTTACATGTACTTCTATTTTCATACCTATACAATTAAAATCTCATTCTGTTTCGTATATTATAACGTTTAATATGTATAATTCCATCAATGTCAGTTAATTTAACGCAGTTGTTATTTAAATTTGACATAAATGAAATCACTTTGAACATTTTTTTCTAATTACCCTAAAGATATCCTTAAATAAGAGATACTAGTATGTATTTTTAGAATAAAACTGAACTCCATCAGGATTTCAAATTATACATGTTAATTTTCATAATTTACACTAACATCTTGGAGTTTCCCGACAGCTTGTTGTGCAGCATGATGATGTAAAAGTTCTTTTCCATCTTGAAGAACTGCTATCATATCATCAATGTAACAATTAGCCTCCCTTTCCTCTAACTCCATACTGCTTGAGTGAAAAATCTCATTTCTGTACTGTCGTACCTATTGGATGCAAAACAAATCTAAGTGGAACATATACACATAATTATATACAAAACAGGTACAATATATATAATTATACTGTTTTCAGCACTGAGACTAAACAAGACTCTTATAATTAAAACAGTTACTATTAAGCGCGTTACCCGAATGCTTCAGATAAGGACCTCGACCACAATAATAAGAATACACAACAGATACGGCAAAATGAATTTATCCACGCGCAAATCTCCAGCACAAATCTCCAGGTGCACAAGTCCACATGCTTCGCTCATCGACATTTCTGTACGGTCCTGTGACAATAGCTCAAGCAATCTTAGCTACGGAGCTACATGTGACACAGCATAAACAAACTCACGTACACGGACAAGGGCAAACCTCAATCACCCTAAGAGGGGGGACATCAATATACTACCTTACCAAAACTAGCAAGGGTATTGATGTAAAGAAAAAACTTAACCTTATAAACATAACATTTGTTGCATAATTATTTTTGATTCATCTTTCATTTTGGCAAATTGCGTCTTAGGCAAAACAATTACACTTGTCTCATAGTTACCGGTATATAGAAATAAAGTCACCTTAGTGCAGTAATTGGGTAAATACTATTTTAAATTTTGTAAGAGAATCTCAAGCTTTCCTGTCAGATTTCGTCCATATTCAACATCAGTGCAGAGACAGATTATTTTTATTATAATATTGATGTTATAAGAGATAAAAATTAAACAACGAATATACAAACATATTAACCTTTGAAAAAAGATTGTTTGGTCCTGTTACATTGCATCCAATATGATTATGAAAATATTTGTTATTTATGATAACATGTAGTAACCCCGAGCAGTCAACGTCGACTGCTGATGTCTTGTCCTTGTACCCGGGAGCATTTATAAAACATTTACTTATGCTCCATGGGTCAACGGACCAATCCTTGGCATCGCTGTTTTTCCAAAAAGGTGCCGGTGGTACTGATGAATGATTCTGTATAATATTGTCGTAGATGGCACCACATAAGTTGTTTGGGCAGGGTTTCTTATTATTTGGAAAGCAACAGTTACATTTATCTTGCTTGTATAGACACACTCCTTTTGAGACTCGGACATGGTCTGGCTGGAGAGTTGTTATCTGACAGGCGCCACATGGTACATTTGGTTTAGGAGTCTTTGTTCCTTGAATTTGGTTTATTATATCTTTATGCTGCTGTTTTCCTATGTCATCACAAAACGGTGCTAGTCCCTCTTTTAGGTAACCTAAGCCTAGGCCTGCTTTGACCCACTGTCGATATTTGTTGTTCTTTAAATGAGCCCCGTGCGCCATCTCGATATCTAGAAGAAAACAAAATCTTTAACTACATTTGTAAAAATCCAAGGAAAACCAACTTTTTAAAGGGACGCCGTTGAGAATGAAAAAAAGTCTAAAATCACAAAATTTGAATATCGTACATAAATTAGCTGTGGCACTCTAAACAGAAATTTATGCAACGATTATAAAGCAATATACTATAGAATGAATTGAAAATCGTATTTATATTCTTTTCTTAGCCCGATTTGAGTAAAAACAATTTAAACGCTTTTCATTTGGGGTCATTTTTTAAAATTTGAATAATTATTCTGGAAACAAAAAGTGCACGATTGATATGAAATTTTGCACAAAGATTAGTGGCACTAACCTTCATCAAATGGTACAATCATCTGGAAAAAATATTTTCTGTCCCATCATGTAAAAAAACCTCAAAGGAGTCCCTTTAACTACGATTGAACATAAACAATTGTTTACCCCAAATGATGGGTCCAGTAAAGGGACAGTGAGCTTTGACTTGCAATGAAGGCATGGTCACTTATACAAGAGTGTCGTTTTGGCCCTAGATCTCTCACTTGAGATTCATTGTTTGAAATGTCATTCTTTCCTCAGTACAGAAGTAGATAATTGGTTCACTCACATAGGGACATGTCTGACAGTGCTTCAGACAAGATGCGTAAATAGACAAACAAAATATTCCCCCAAAAAATATTGATCTATGACAGCATTTCAGAAACCTTATTTATTATCAGCATACTAATTAGATTTTTATTGTATTCCTAAGCAAACCGAACAGGCAGATTTTCGGTTTAAACTTTGCCCATTGAGCGACCCTATTTAATTTACCAATATCAACGCTTCTTCATGTGCTATCGGTTTGTAATACTTTTCAATTTTTGTCAGTTAAAGGCTGATACAGAGGTTCATCTAAAATAAATAATGACAGTTTATTGAATCAAAATATTACATGTTGGTTTATCTTTTTTTGTCAAAGAATAACACCAATCTGTAAAAGTAACACTTTCAGCAATTTTCATTAATTTTACTTTGCATGTCAAGGTCAATTAAAGGTCAAAGTCATTTCAAAATAGTTCAAATCATCCGTTTAATCATGTCATCTCATGTTTGTTCTTTTTTCCCTAAGTATAAATTAAAAGTTTCGACATTTTAGGCAAGTTTCAATAAATTGAGTTGACAGTTAATCTCGATAGAAAGGTCATTGTCATATCCGAACAATTCAACATGTTTGTTTTTGTCATATGTGTTTTTCAGTCAAAGTACAAATCAAATCTGTAAATACACGCATGTTTTGTCATTTTTTTTGCATTATAGTTATAATTCAAACCTAATAATAAATAACAAAGTCAAATTTTTTTTTAAATCATTTGACCATTCCTGTCAAGGTCAAATAAAAGTCAATGTTAAGTTCTTTTATTTTTGTCCCATACAGTTGTGTGCCAAATTATGTGGTTACATCCTTTTTTAAGCAGAGTCCGGTGAAATAACAATAATGTGATGTCAGCGTTAAGGACATTTGCGTCAGCGTTAAGGACATTTGCGTCAGCATTAAGGTCATTTGCGAGTCAATGTTACATTTTAAGACACTATCACTACAGTAGGTGTTCTTAAGTATAAAGACATCCCATTAATAAATAACAATCTTATGACCGACTTGACATATCAAGTTAAATTAAATAAATCTACCTTTAAGCATAATGTTATTGTTCAGAGAAGGTTATAATTAATTAGTTTAGCGATAAATCTTTTTCTTAGCATTTTTATTGTGTCCATGTGTAAACAAAATTTATCTATAGATTACAAGTTTATTGCCAAATATAGAAGAAAGCAATGTTTGTACAATATTATGTTTTCGGACGACAACGAGAAAATAAATCAAAATGAACGTAGCAATAGCTCTTCTTTTATCTGTTTTTATTGTTTTAACTGTAATCCGTTCTAATATTATATTGGTGTAGTTTGAATGCTTAATTTAATGTAAAAAAGTATTAAGCTCGCCGTAGGCTAGCACGATATGAATAAATTCAACTCGTTTACAAAATATAGTCTTAAATCTTTATTTAATCAATATCCTGTATGTATAATACACAATGGTGAAGAAGGCCGAAAGGCAGAAAGCAAGATAGAATTTAAATAAGAGCTTTAAACTATATTACATTTTAAATATTATGTTTTCGAATAATGTGTTGTGTTTTTCTTTTTTCTCAAAAAAAAAAAAAAATTAAAAAGGTGTATGTTTCAGTCTGTTTTCCCAAATAGTACACAATTATAATGACAACATTTTGAAGTTGTACAAAATAAATGGATTTTTTATTTAGCAATATATAAATTGATATTTTTCCGAACATGTAATATCATGTGCATGTTTTTGCAGTCCTTTAATTAAGTTTTGGTATTGTTTGAGATGGTTTACATTAGTAAAGGAGGGTGATGGACAAACTCATATCAGTAGTCGTCTACAAGCACATAGTTACACTATCGAACCTAGGATTCGAACAAAGAATTGTATTTATAATATATATTACACTTAAAATCACACATGTAAGGGACATAATTTATTTAAAATTGTATGATTTTTCAGCGAATCAGAATTGATCATTGAACAAACAAAAATATTCTGTTTCTTTGAAATGTAGGTTTTCTGTTTTTAATGTGTTGTGGTGATAGTTTGTTGTTGTTGATGCTACTGCTGCTGCAGCAGTAAAGTATAACCTCCATTTACACGTATGCCGGTTACAATATGTCATTCCTGACTCAAGTTATTGTCCAAAAATCATTATTCTATCTTGAGTAACGGCGACTTTGACCAAAACACCCAGGGGTAAAAATGCAATAACAACTGGGGTTTCCTCATAAGAATTTGATTACAATATGTTACCTCATTCTAAACATTAGTTATCGTCAGGAAAACATGATATGGACCGACCGACCGAAAAGCTGACTAAGATATACTCCCTCCCCCCCCCCCCCAAAAAAAAAAAAAGTTTGTAGGGGACTAATAATTGAAATATAAAAGCAGTTTTGTTATAATACCTAATTATTGAAATATATTGGAATATTTTATTCTTTGCAGTGTGTAGTATGTAGTGGTCAGTACTTTCCAGTGAAGAAGCACTTAATTATAGTTGAAACAATTTCTGTACATGTGTGGATTCCGTATAAGGTTGCACGAACTTGCTAAATAATTATGGCTAAATTCAAAACAAAAATAATAGTGAAATAAGGAGTTAAAAGATAATAACTCGGCACTTATAGGAAAATGAAAAAAAAATCTTACGTGACAGATAATTAAACAAAATATTTTTGGGAAAAGTACATTCCGATTCTCGCTATCTTGCATTGATATTTTGATATTTAACTAGAAATTTAGCAGATAACATAACATATTGTGTTACGCTGACCGTTTGTATTTGTCGATATTTTGATTAATATGATAAGCATGTTTGACTTCAGAAAGAAAGCACAATATGATATTAATTGTTTTACATCGTTAAAGTTAACTTGATTACCGCGTCCTAAACGCACGGTAGTTACTTTATTTGACAAAACTTCCTAATAACAAAATGTCTGAGTCATGTACATTCTATATGCTTTTGATATCACGCTTCACGTCTCACTGAGTTTTAACTAAGAATTGTTTAATGATTTCTAAAATTAAAAAGCGCGTGAATAAAGATTCGGTTCCTTGGACGTACATTCGTTTAACAAAAACAGGTTACTCCATATAAAATTATAACATGAAATAAGCTAGTTTACTATTTGCAAATGTGTGATAGAAATAATTTAAGAAAATAGGTTATGATAAAAGTAATTTGCTATGATAACAAAGTAACAACTATTGATGGTAAAAAAAAAAAAATGATAAACTAACTTAACGGTATATACAGGTCTAGTTAGGTCAAATGTGTCAATCCATTATTACTGATGTTTTAATTCAAGAAAGAAAGTTGACAAAGTCAAAAGGCAAACGTTTTGTCAATATAAATAGAAAATCCTGGTCCGACTCGTCCAAGATCTGGGCTTGATTTTATTTGTTAACAGGTATATATCTCAGAAATCAAATTTCGAGTTAAAGTTTGAATTTATAAGCTTATCATTTCATCTAATAATATATCTATATGATAGAATTGTTCAATTGCAATTTTTGGCGCTATTAATTACAATATGAATTAAAACCCAAGCAGTTTATTTGCTATCCTGTATATTTAAACACGATCTGAATCCCGTGTGTTCCGGATCTCGGGTCCTGTTATTATTATTTGCCATCAAGTGATGCTAAAACAAGAAAATACCTGTTTCTAAAAAATAGCGTAAGAGAAAGAAAGAAGGAATATCACTAAAGCGAACAAGGTTTTTTTTCCCCATTTGTTGTGGATTCAATTCTGCCCTACATTTTTGTGGAACTTGATGTTGATTCAAATGTTTAGGAAAACTATTACATATCTTTTTAACGGACCGACGGAAAAATGCCCTGGAGAATATTTGTTTTCAAAAGTAAATCAAGACATAAATATTTTAATCGATCTTTTTAAGTATTCGTACGACTTAAACAGTAAGGGAAAAGAAGGGCTGAGACAAATTAAAACTTGTCAATTTCTTTAAAAAGATGGCTCAAACTAATCAATCAGCTCTCGCAGTATTACGATTTAAACACCAAAAAAAGTAACCGATGCAAATTATTAATACTTTTTTTCGAAAAGAGGTAGCATGAGCGAAAACGTGATATTTTAGGGTATATTTCTGTCGCTAATAAGCCAATGATGTCTTAGATAATATTATATTTTTCTTTCTCAAAATCTTTTTATATATGATGTACTTTTAAAGTACATTGCTTGATATTGTTTACATTCTGCTTCATATATGACAAATAATTTAAAAATCATTGTGGCATTAAGCCACAACCAAACGTTATAACACTCATTGTTGCTCTTTCTAAAGAAGTAAACTTGTATTCGTTTTTTATGCTAAATGTGCCTTGAAATCAAATATGATCATCAATA